TAGAAAAGTGCTTTTAAATAAAATTTATTATTATTATTATTATTATTATGCCTTAATACTTGTCTGAAGGGATTTTTCTCCCCCATAAAGGCATAGAAACTCTGAAACTCTGCTGCATGTTACAGGATCACACATATACCCTGCTGCTATCATAAGCTCCGAAACAAAGATATGTCATGTTTTATGAATATATACGACAGTAATAAGGAACTTTTGTAAGACAGAGACTGTGACAGCAAAGCATGATCCGTTTATGACACACATAATCCTAAATGTAAATTCCTAAACATTCTTTATTTTGGACTGATATCCGCTGCCTTTTAGCTGGAGCTCTAAGGCTGTTCGCCACAGCAACTAGCATCTTAAATATTCATGAACTTATGCGCAGGCCGAGCAGATCAGGTTATATCCATGAAAATTGGATCGTGCAACAGCACGTTGACCTTTAGACCCGGCTGCACGTCGTCACACAGATAACAACAGGGAAGCTGCAGGTGACCAGGCGAGGAGGGGTTCAGATAAGTTAAGGGTAAAAAGATCCTGACTCATTTGCTTGTCAAAGAGGCAGCGGAAGGATATCACAGTCAAACCCTCATTTGAATTTAAAGGAATAACTAGGAATCTTTCTTTTCTAACTTGGTCATTTAGTCATGAATATGTAACGTTATACAGAAAAGAAAAGATTTGAAATCAAATTTTTAGATACTTAAAGGTCCAGTGGGTAACATTAAGGAGGATGTATTGGCAGAAATGGAATATAATATTCACAGGTATGTTTTCATCAGTGTATAATCACTTCAATATAGGAAATGTTTTTGTTCACTTTCAAAGGGTCCTCCCACCAGTAGCCCAAACGGAACAAATCAAACACTGGCTCTACATACGGTCTATTTCGAGCGTTTCACTGCCACTGTAGTTTCTCCTACATGAAGGGGTGGGTGAAGTGAGGGAGCTGCAATCTAAAACTATATTGTTAGATGTGACTAAATCCTACAGACTGGAACTTTCTAATACAAACACAGTTGTCATACCTGCCAGGCTTATTGATGTACTTGTGCAGTCGGGCTTTGACTTCATCATAGGTGAGGAAGGCCATGTAGCCAGGGTGTGTCACTGCCAGGAAATTCCAGTTCCTCAGAATTGATCCCCATGGCTGAAAAAGACCACCCCATGTTATTTTAACTGAGACAGATTATTATGAATTGTACATTTATTCTTCAGATTTTCAATATAAAGTTCTGTTGAGTCAGTGCTTCTGCCACAAATATGTGATAAGTAGTGTGTTGACTTGGCTGAATGTGAATTCTCTGGCTCAAAATAGCAAGCAACGCAGAGAACGCAGAGAACGCAGAAAACGCAGAGAACGCAGAGGCAGAGGTTTCTGTATCTGTTCAGCATGAGGACTAGGCGTTTGGGAAGCAGCCTGTGCACTGCAGCCAGTTGTGTTTGGCTTTGTTTACAACTAGTTGGAGGTTTTCTGCAGGACAGAGTTACACAGATGCCTAAACATTTGATGTGGAAGCGTACTAGCTAACATTACTGTTTATTGCTCAACAATAAAGGCTTAATGATGTGCTTTATGTTACATTACATACAGATATAGAAGACCTTGACATCTGAGTGCATTAAGTCAGAAGAAAAACAAAAAAAAAATTAAATGAAAGGTTGGCTCAAGTGCGTGGGAGTTTTTCTTTCCTGCCACGCTTGCTGCTTTTCTTTTGGATCCAGAAATTATGTACACATATCCCCTTGAAACAAAAATAACACAGACATTGACAGATACAGTAAGTTGTTTTAATCAGTCAGATCCCTGAATTAACAGCATAAAGGTGTGGGGCAGTGTGCTTGGAAGTCTTTCAATGGGTCTGCCAATTGGCCCCACATCCACCTCCATCCTGCCTGTTAGCTGGAGCTCACCAGGGACAATGATCTGCTACCCTCACTGTGCAGCTTGTTGGCAGGAGAAATAAAAAAAAAATGCTCCTGCATACTTGAATTACTGGGCTTTGGGCTGAGACGGTAATGGAGCAAGCTCTAACCACTCTGTTGAGTTTGTTGATTTGAGCTGAAAAGTGGAGATTGGGCCGGCCCAAAGCGGCAGGAAACAGCCAAATGGGAAATTAAAAAACACTCCTGACACAAGTACTGAGTAGGACACAGACTGGAAAGCAAGTAAAATATTCTTCTCTCATTCAGTTCTTCATAAATGTGCTTTAACTTTTTAAACAAGTAATAAAACAGTCTCAATTTAAAGCTGCAGTAGGTTATTTTTAT